ATCCAAAAGATTTATAAGGATTTTTGATGGCTATTTAGTGCCTCCTGGTGGATAGATGAGACCTTCCCAGCATTAACAGCATCAAGCCACTTGGATGTTTCTTCTTCCAGTAAATAGTACAGCCTCTTGCTAATCAGCTTCTGCAGAAATCTGCACTCAGATTACAAGGCACTTAGTTGAATCTAGTTAAAGACAGACCCTCCAATGCTACTAAGTCACATATAGTACAATAAATGATCAAATGTTAAATTAAGTGGTCAACTACCCACCCAAAAATTCAGAACACCAAGCCATTTAAGAGGTGGATTAAAGATTTGTAGGTATGGAATAGAGCCATTTTTGAAGATTACTTAAGAATCTAGGTCTAGCAAACAACAACAAACAAACAAAAAAAGAATCTAGGTCTGAGGCAATCATGGACAACGTATCCTGGGATCATGAGTGAATGGCACGGACAGAAGTTTAAATATTTGAAGTCCTCTAAGTAATGGAGATTCTATTAAAGTTTTGAGTGGGGGTGATTACAGTACCCAAGGATTTTAAGACTAATCTAACATTAGAATATAAAATGGAGAAATTAGGTTATTAATATGACCAAGTAACTGAACTACAGACAGTCCTCAGGTTACGTCAGACTCAACATACGTCATTTCATGATTATGTCACCATTCCCCATCCTATATAACAAAGAGAGAATATGCAAATCGACCATCACTCCACCACAAACATGGCGGCACCCACAGTGGAAGCTGTTCTCATAAGGAGCCTTAACGAGCAATCAGCAAGGACCTGAGGCTGTGCCATCCACCACACACCCCCCCACCCTCCATGGGGCTTGACAGGGGACCTCAGGCCCCGCCTCCAACCCTGGCACCAGGCCGGGGGACCTCAGGCCATGCCCCCTGCCCAGCAGGCCTTGACAGGTGACCTCAAGGTGTGTCCCCCTGCCCCAGTGCTGGGCAGGGGGACCTCAGGCTGCTCTCCTTGCCCCAGGCCTGGGGACCTCAGGATGCGGCCCTCCTCCCAGTGGGGCTTGATGGGGGACCTTAGGCTGCACCCCCACACCCACCCCAGCACTGGGCCAGGGGACCTGAGGCTGTGTCCCCCACCCAGCAGGGCTTGACAAGGGTGGGACCAACCAATGGATCTAGCCCAATGGTGGGGGGGGGCCAGGTCTGGGTCTCACACGATTTTGAGGCACACATGGGTGGGCGGGGACTTAACTCTGGGTCCCGTGGTGTGCCCCAGACTCTGACAGGAAGTTTTTCAAATACATTTTACTAATTTTCTTTAATCTCAAGACACTTCTGAGAAAGGTTCAAATAGCAATATTAAAATATTTCTTCTAATCCTCTTTTTTTAAAGTTAAATCTTTATTGTTCAGATTATTTGTTCCTCTTTTTCCCCCCCATAACTCCCCTCCTCCCAGTTCCCGCCCCACCCTCCACCCTCACTCCCCACCCACTGTCCTCATCCATAGGTGCACGATTTTTGTCCAGTCTCTTCCCGCATCTCCCACACCCCTTTCCCCCCCAAGAATAGTCAGTCCATTCCCTTTCTATGTCCCTGATTCTATTATAATCACCAGTTCATTCTGTTCATCAGATTATTTATTCACTTGATTCTTAGATTCACTTGTTGATAGATGCATATTTGTTGTTCATAATTTGTATCTTTACCTTTCTCTTCTTCTTCCTCTTCTTGAAGGATACCTTTCAGCATTTCATATAATACTGGTTTGGTAGGGGTGAACTCCTTCAGCTTTTCCTTATCTGTGAAGCTCTTTATCTGACCTTCAATTCTGAATGATAGCTTTGCTGGATAAAGTAATCTTGGTTGTAGGTTCTTGGTATTCATCACTTTGAATATTTCTTGCCACTCCCTTCTGGCCTGCAAAGTTTCTGTTGAGAAATCAGCTGACAGTCGTAAGGGTATTCCCTTGTAGGTAACTGAGTTTCTTTCTCTTGCTGCTTTTAAGGTTCTTTGTCTTTTGCCCTTGGCATTTTAATTATGATGTGTCTTGGTGTGGTCCTCTTTGGATTCCTTTTGTTTCGGGTCCCCTTGCCCCAGGTCTGGGGACCTCAGGATGCGGCCCTCCTCCCAGTGGGGCTTGATGGGGGACCTTAGGCCACACCCCCACCCCCACCCCAGCACAGCAGGGACCTAAGTGTAGACCTAAGGCCTTTTCCAGTTTGATCCTGTGCTTCTTGGACCTGTAAGTCTATTTCTTTCACCAGGTAGGGGAAGTTTTCTGTCATTATTTCTTCAAATAGGTTTTCAATATCTTGCTCTCTCTCATCTTCTGGCACCCCTATAATTCGGATGTTGGTATGCTTGAAGCTGTCCCAGAGGCTCCTTACACTACCTTCGTATTTTCAGATTCTTTTTTCATTTTGCTTTTCCGGTTGGGTGTTTTTTGCTTCTTCACATTTCAAATCTTTGAGTTGATTCTTGCGCTCCACTGGTCTGCTATTGGGAGTCTGTATAATATTCTTTATTTCAGTCAGTGTATGCTTAATTTCTAGTTGGTTCTTTATCACAACATCGAGGGTCTCATTAGATTTCTGGAGGATCTCACTACATTTATCGGCAGTTTTTAGAAAATTATTGAAAGACCTTAAAAGTGTGGTTTTGAGGTCTATATCTTCCACTTCTGAGATCTGCGTCCTGTTTGTCTCCGCATTTTTTTGTTTTCTTGGTGCACCCCCTAGTGGTCTTTGTGCACAGTCTTGTTGTAGTTAAGCCTTGATTGTTGTAGGTAATACTGGCGGGGATTTGAGCTCCAGGCCAAGTGGCTGTGAGAATGAGCTGTGTCTGCAGTGAGAGAACTTCTGTCCTCTAGGGAGGTGCTAATCTAGCCTTTACCTGAGGCTATCTGGCAAATGGCGTGTCCCAGGGGATCAACAGGGCAGGCTGAGCGAACAGTTATGGCTGCTCTCAGTCCCGTCCTGGGGCTCTGCCTCTCAGAGTCCCAGCAACCACTGCAAACCTCGGAGAGAAAACTGCCTTCGAGTTCCGATCGAAGCCAGACAGTCCCACTTCTCCTGTGAGTCTGGGTCCCTAGAGACTCGCCCGGATCTGGAGTTCAGAATCTGAGACTCCCTCCCAATTGGAAAAGACAACCGCGCCCTCAGCCACCAGCCCGCTCCGCATGCACTCCGCACCTTAGTATTTGACTTCAGCACTGCGCCTCCTCTGCGTCTCAGTATGCTATTCTCTTGTCTCCTAGTTGTAGAACTTCCACTCAGCCAGCCTTCCTGTGGTTCTGGATGATGTCCCTTCTGTCTTTTTTTTTTTTTTTCAAATATATTCCATTGATTTCCCACAGAGAGAAAGGGAGATAGTCAGAAACATCGATGAGAGAGAAACATCTATCAGCTGCCTCCTGCACATCTCCTGGGGATGTGCCCGCAACCCAGGTACATGCCCCCAACCGGAATCGAACCCGGGACCCCTCAGTCCGCAGGCCGACGCTCCATCCACTGAGCCAAACCAGCTTCGGCTCCCTTCTCTTTTAGTTGTATTTTTGAAGTGGTCGTTCGAGGCAGCAAACTCCAGCGTTAACCTATGCTGCCATCTTGGTTCTCTCTAATTAATCCTCTTAATGTGCACGAATTTCATGCACTGGGCCACTAGTTTACTTACAACAAAAAAGTTCCATCATTTCAATGACATATGTGCTTTATGTTTTTCATTATTTATTTACCATAAATAAAGGTCTGGAATTGTTCTTTTTTTCATTACTGTTGTGTATGTGCTCCACGAGTGATGTAGGCACTTATGTAGAAGGGTTCCAACTTACAGTGAAAATCACATTACCTAGCGCCACTGGGACAAATCTCCAATGTAACCTGAGGGCCTACTGAACTAAATTTAAGGATACTAAAACAATGAAAGCCTATTTTGATCCTTAAGGGAAGGATGCAAAATAAATTAGCCCATGTTATGTGGTCACTGCATGGCTAAGATTAGCTTTGCAACTGTTAGCACCCACCATCCTCAACTAAACACTTAATGTTGCTGCTAGTTGTTCACTTTAACTCCTTTTCCTTAATTCATAACTAAGAACTTCCCCTCCACAACACCAGCATTTCCACAAAGGAGAATTAACAGTCATCTGGAATCTAAGACAGACTAGGAAGATAAATAATCCTTACACTCAAAAGGCCGAACAATTTTTATTTTCAAAAACAACTTTATTCATGACACATTTTAAAAAAACTCCCACCCGCTGGAAATGAGCTAGAAAAATAAACAAAATCCACCTCCCACCTCCCTGTGCCCACTTCCTCCCTTTCCCTCCAAATAAAAGGGGAAAAAAAAAAAGCAAAGGGGAAAAAAAAACAAAACTGAAAAACAAAAAAAGTCACCAAACCCCCCAAAACAAGGTAGTGCATTTCCCCAGGGGGAAGGGGAATTTACACTGGAGCCGCTGGGAGCGGATCGGAGATCTTCCGGCTACAGAAACCTGCAAAGAAAGACACTCAAAACAGAAAAAGAAACACAAAAGGAAACAAAATAGATCACCAGGCAATCTGAAGGAACAGTGAGCCAGAAAAGAGGGGGTGGGTGGGTGGTTGACCTGGCAGGACAGGAGCAGGCAGGAGGGTACTGTGAAAGTGAGGAAGATGGAGGGAAGGTAACAAGCAGAACAGTTTGGTGTCCTTCCAGAGCCCTGGGTTTAAAAAAAAATCCCTCCTACCATCCATGCCCACCTACCCTTGAGCAGCCCCCAAAGGGGTGAAGTGGGACAGGGAAACAGTGGGAGCAGCTTGCGCAGTTGAGTCGAGTCCATGGCGAATCCCCAGAGTGAATAAGCAGCCCCCTGCCCCACACCCTGGACCTTCCCCTACTCCCCAAAGCAGGTCCCTCCTCAGCAGTTAGTTATGGGATTTTCCCCCCTTCCACAGTATATCTTTTTTTTTTTTAATATTTTTTTTCCATCAAGGTCATCTTCTGTTTTCTTTTTTTTTTTTTTTAATTCTTTTTTTTTTTCCTTCTTTCCTCTTTTTTTCCTCTCTCTCCTCCTAATACACACTTTTTTTAGTAAGGGGAATACCATGAAGTCGCTCTAGCCCGGCCCCTGGAAGAAAGAAGGAGAGTTAGGTGTTAACACAATCACTAGATAGCTCAGTACAAGCCCCACCCCTTGGGCCCTCGCCCCAGTTACTGTGAAGGGAAGGGGGGCAAAGAAAATGTCCAAGTATACTAAAACTGACCCCACAATCTCAGAAACAATGGCACAGCTGACAAATGGGAGGGGGGATTTAACAAAATACTTCTCCAAACAGTGGCAATAGAGAAGTGCACCCGAGACAAAAGAGCAAGGAAAAAGACTCATTGTATGTAGTTTTCTCAATTCTCCACAGGTCTACACTCTAGGTCTAGGCCCTCACCAACAGAACCTAACTCCTGGGAGCAGATAGGTAAATACTATGAGAAGCCCAGGTCTATATACCTAACTTACCTATTTAAGTGAAAAGAGAAGTAAAGCAACATGGGCACCGCAAGACTGGCTCAGTTAAAGAGTAAATATCTCAATATCCTCCCTCATGGTTGTTGAGCATCAACTAGCCTCTGGTATTCTTCCAAGGAACCTTCAAACGTCAACCCCTCCCTAACTGGGAAAAGTAAAAATGTCCAAGCAGTACTTTCGCTGCTCTGAGGCCCTGTTCTCCAAACTTTCTGTGTAAACCCATTCATTGCCACCAACTCTCAAGGAAAATCATGCTGGGGGAAGAAGCATCTCTCAGGACAGAGTGGAGAAATCCAGCCCTTATGACCAATTCCTGCTCCAGAAAAAGATGATGAGACTGGCCGCCTGGCCTGGCCTGCAACTACCTTCCTCACCCTGCACAGGCAGGAGACCAAGTCCCTGGAGACCAAGGGGAGGGTTAGGGAAGGTTCCTCAGATCAGGAGAGAAGTAAACATAAAGGTTCATGGGAATTGGGGGAGAGGAGCAGCCCATCTATCCTGACCTGTAGACACGACCCCGGGGCCTGCTGTTAAAACCACTGTAGAATCGAGCTCGGGAACTGTTGTAGTTGGTGGTCCGGGCACGGTATCGGGCTCGTGGGAAACCCCGGTCTGTTGTGCTGATCCCTGGTCTGTTGGTTCGTTTTGGGATTACCTGAGCGAAGGATGTACAATGTAGAGCTTTAATCAACCTGGAGAGTTTACATAGAACCAAAATAGCAATTAGCATGGGGCTTACCTTGATTTGTCTTCCTCTAAATAGGGATTCATCTAAGGCCAGGGAAGTCCTCACTGACTCTTTGTCTGAGAACTCTATATATGCAAACCTGCAAAAAAGTGAGACTTTAGCTATCTGAGAATGCAAATAGTAGCTCATAGGTAAAATTCAACTTTGCAGGCATGCTTTGTTTGGGTACAATGTGTTCACCCATTAAGTTATTGGCCAAAAATTTTTTTTTAATGTTTTCATTAATTGTTAGAGAGAGAAAAAGTGAAAGATGGAATCATCAATGAGAAAAACACCATTGATTGGCCCATAACCTGGGCATGTGCCCTGACCAGGAATCGAACCAGTGACCTCTTGGTTGATGCTCAACCACCAAGCCATACCAGCCAGCTGGTCAAATAATTTTTTTTTTATATAGTTTATTGATTTTTTACAGAGAGGAAGGGAGCAAGATAGAGAGTTAGAAACATCGATGAGAGAGAAACATCGATCAGCTGCCTCCTGCACATCTCCCACTGGGGATGTGCCTGCAACCCAGGTACATGCCCTTGACCAGAATCGAACCTGGGACCTTTCAGTCCGCAGGCCGACGCTCTATACACTGAGCCAAACCGGTTTCGGCCAAATAATTTTTAATGAAAAATTTTAATCAAAATGTCCAGCTACTCTTAGAAAATTGTAAAACAGGGTATATAGGACCTGAATTTCTATATGACAGAACCAGGTAAGGCCAAGCAGAAGTTGCCCCTCCCCTTCTATTTCATGATCCCATTCATATTTAGCCTTCATCTTTATTTTGTCTAGCCCCTGAAAGCATTTATGTGCAACCTCTGAAATGCAAAGATGGGCAAAAGTAGGTTTACAGTTGTGAGTAAGCAAGTTTATTCTTGTATTATATATTCTTCCATACCCACTACTGTGAACCTACTTTTGCCTACGCCCATACATCAACATTAATGTGTTAAGCCCTAGTCGGTTTGGCTCAGTGGACAGAGCTTCGGCCTACGGACTGAAGGGTCCCGGGTTCGATTCTGGTCAAGGGCACATGCCCTGTTTCGGGCTCCATCCCCAGTAGGGGGTGTGCAGGAGGCAGCTGATCGATGATTCTCTTTCATCATTGATGTTTCTATTCTTCTCTCCCTCTCTTCCTTCCTATCTGAAATCAATAAAAATATATTTTTTTAAAAAGACAAAGGACACTTGTTGGCACAGCAAGTTAATTTAATCCTCAATATAAAATCTACTTGTTTTTATCTATTTGTTTAAAGCCTCACCTGAGAGTATTTTTCCATTGATTTTTAGAGAGTGGAAGAGAGAGGGAAAGGCAGAGAGAAATACTGATGTGAGATAAACACATTGATTGGTTGCCTCCTACAAGCACCTGCACCAGGGGCAGAGTCTACAACCGAGGTATGTGCCCTCGCCCAGAATTAAACCCAGGACCCTTCAGTCTGCAAGCCAACACTCTATCCACTGGGCCAAACCAGCTAGGGCTAAAATAATCTATTTTTAAATTGTGACTAAAATGACCCCAACATACTTCCACACTTACCCTTTGGGATGGCCACTAAATTTGTCACAGAGTATGGTAACACGGTTGACTGAACCACAGCCATGAAAGTGTGCTTCCAGCTCTTCTGCTGTTGCACCATAGTCCACCTGTGGCGATATATAAATACACACACACACACATATTTGAAGAGGGGGTACATTTCAAAGGTACTGGATAAATTCCCACCTCAATAGATACACTGTTTAGCCTTTGAGGTATATGTTATCCATATAGAGCAGTGATGGCGAACCTATGACACGCATGTCAGAGGTGACACACGAACTCAATTTTTTGGTTGATTTTTCTTTGTTAAATGGCATTTAAATATATAAAATAAATATCAAAAATATGTCTGTTTTACTATGGTTGCAAGTATCAAAAAATTTCTATATGTGACACAGCACCAGAGTTGAGTTAGGGTTTTTCAAAATGCTGACACACCGAGCTCAAAAGGTTCGCCATAATTGATACAGAGAAAAGTACATCAAATCTGGTTCTCTAAGGAACTAATCTCTTTTCTTTCCAACCCCAGAGGCTCTGTTGATTGCTATTACTTTTTACCACCTCCCAACACTCCCTCAGCCCCCAAATCTATCACCTCTCCTAGAGATTTTCCTTTCAAGGCTTCTATTAAATGACTCCCCAAAATAAGACCTCCCACCAACCCCAATCTGGGCCTTAGTACATACATTGCCAACATAGATGGAACGGGCATCAGCCTCCATCTTCTCTTCGATAGACATGATCACTGGGCCAGCTTTGGAGAAAAAAAAAAACTTGCTTTTTACTTGACCAATATATGAACCACCACCATCATCACTAGTGAACACGAAGATTTTGGTTCATTCTTTGCTGTACCCACTGCCTAAAATAGTGCCTAGCACACAGTAGGTTCTCACTAAATACTAGCCAAATGAAGAAATAAGGTAATACATTCTTTAAAAAAAAAAAAAAATCAAAGAAAACAGTACAGGAATCCCCTCCCATTCCCAAGTCAAGTCCCTAATGAATAGGTTTGGTTGAAAGGATCTGATTAAAGGGGAAGCCCCTGCAGCTGAGCGGTTTATCTCAGGGCTCCTAACTAAAGAGTCACCAATTTAAGGAAGAACTATTAAGCTTGAAGGTCAAATGCCAGCTGGCAACCTCCACAAAGGGTAGAGGTAGACTAAGAACAAAGAGAAATATATTTGTAACAGGGACAAAGGGAGGCACCCACTATCCTCACCAAAACAGCTTGCTTCACAAAGGTCAACGGAATACACAATGGACTATGCCCGCCGGCACCTGGTCGGTCAGCAACTAACGACAAGCAGCTCCAAGGTCCAGACCATCTCATCCCGCATAACCCTTCCCATCCGGGCACCGGCTCCGCGTGCAAGCGCCAGCCACTCACCATTGCCCGGAGGTGGACTCATATTCATCTGCTTCTCCACCTCGTTCTGCAGCTCTTTTAGCTTCTCAGCTTCTTCCTCCATCTCCCTGACTCGAGCTTTAATCGCTTCCAGCTCCTACAATGAGCGGGGAAGGTATGGAGAAGAGCTGAAGAGGAACCACCGCAGGGCTCTGCCTGCTCTCGCACCGCACGCGGCCCCAGCCGTGCTCGGCCATTTCCCTCACCCCACGCGAGGATCATTACGAGAAGAAACGCAGGCAATCTTCTGTGCAACAACACCAGGCACCCATGACGCCCGAATCCACCCGGCCGGGCCTCTCCAGGCGGCCGAGGATCCGGGCCCGGC